GTATTCATGTTACAAATATACGTATACCTTATATGTAAGACATATTTATAAAAATATTACTAATAAAGCAGGAACGGTAATACAAAAGCCGCTTAAATTCTGTTTGATGACTAACACCTTAGTTGAATCTCAATTAACTACAAATATATCACTAATCATCTGAAAATTTATTGATAGTGTTTTCTACATACATATATAGAAAAGTGGAAGTTAAATTAGGCTATTGTTGTTTTCCGTAATGTCTTCCGTGATTCATTGCCTAACCATCATTAAAATAATATAAATTATAACTTTGACATTTTTTACTAAACCACACACTGTGAAATATAAATGTCAGTAAAACTTTGACTTACATAACCAAGTTCACTTTCCTTAAAAATTACTAACTATGTGTGAAGCCTACTTTGAAATTTGACTAAAATTTTCTTTCTTAATCCGTATAATTCATAACAAAAAAAGTTAAAGCAGTTGTGTGCTTCATAGATCAAATTGATTTCAATTGACTCAAATTTGGTTAGTTGAATTCTTTATCGATAGCAAAATTTAAATTGTAAAATTGAAGAAAGTTTTTGCATCTTCTTTATTATTTGAAGAAAGATTTATTTATACGCTGGCTTGCCTTACATAAGTGTTACTTAGGAGCTACTAACATTTTCACTTTCTACAATATTTGAATTTAAAAGTATGAAAGTAAGGTGCGCATTCCTGATTTTAAAAGCAGTATGCTGACCTTGTCGTGGGAGATGAGCCGCTCGACAAGAATAAAGATCAAATGGTATGCGTGAAAGGTTGCCTCGATCGTGTCAGCCTGTCTTTCTGCTTTTCGTTTTCCACTTGTCCTTGAACATGAAAAGAGGATAGGTATTGAAACTACACGTACAATTATAAATACTACATAGGCGTATTTCTTAAAATTTGCATTCGATAAATTCCTAGTAACTAATGTAATCAGGCTGATCAACATTTTATAATCAGCCTTGTATTTTCAATCGAGGATTGTCTAGAATTTTAATAGGTCGTAGGATGGATTCTACTATCAGGAATTAGATACATACGAGATATAATCCATGTCAGGACTGAGTAAGATCCTTGTGGAGACAAGAGGCTGTCTGTGAGACATAAATTCAACCAATGTGGCTTATACCCACCATCAACGTTTCGTTCTCAGTTATGAGGGTTTTTCAGGGTAGGTTTCCTAGGTGATTTACATGAAGCTCAAATGGTGCAGTTTGTGACATACACTATTATAGATAAAATATAAATAATAAAAGTAATTAAACAATAGGACAATTAATTAAAAAGTCAATAATAGGAGACATCAAGGAAGTTAAATAACTCAGGATTCATGGAGCGGCAGAGATATAAAACAAAGGATAACGCAGGATCGAGTCGCTTTTAGAATAAGAGATCATAACGGTTAATTTCAAAATTCCAAAATGGATGCTAAAGATATTTATTTGGATATATGGCTCTGTACGGATATAAAAGGGGGACGCATTGGAAAAGTAATGGTTAGAAGCATTTGAGGTGTGGTGTTATAAGTAAACCGTGGATAAAAAAGGCTACGAATAAGGAGATGTTTTAAGAAGGAATAGGAGAACTTTGCAAATCAATGCGAAATAGGAGAGATAGGATAATAGGGCACCTTCTGAGCCTTGGAGTAGACTAGTTTGAAACATATTAATGAGAAGCAGGAACAGGTGTAAACAGGAGCAGGGACAGGCCTTATTTGGATGACTGTTCATAAATAGATAAGGATGTAGGATGTTCCAATTTTAGGAAAATGCGAAGATTAACTCAGAGCAGAAAAGAGTGAAAGTGTCAGATGCATATCCAGTCAGTGTTTGGACTGAGGACCCTATGATAAAAATGAAGAAAAGTGGAAAAATAGAACTTATAGATTTTTCATTAATGAGTATTTAATTACCATTTTTGTATTGTTCTTGTTGACTGATTTAACTTCTAAGATATAAACTGAAGTAATCAATTTGAATTTAATATTATTTCAAGGACAAAAGTATAGGTGTCACCGTTACGCACAAAAAAACATTAATTAAAAAAAGTGATGAATGTACATAGCATACGTACAGATTTTTCAGATTGAGCAACGTGACAAGTACATACTATCCGAGTAATTTCTTATGCAGGTCAGTTATTATTCAAGAAATAGAAATTTACACATGCAAATTATATATTGTTAGGTTAAGGTTGCAGGTGCTTCTTAAACAATTTATTCACGGATTAGCTGTTTCATTTAACTAAATAAAATTTTGTAACGAAAATAATAAATGAGAATATGAAAATAATAGCAATGGAACATAAATATACAGTAAATATAAACAGTTACAATCATTATTTTGTTTTTTAGTTAATGTGTAGTATAAAATTGCCATATCTGGTTACAAATAATAGCTATACAACTTTATAATCAGAAATTTAAATGTTAAAGTCTATCATATGCAGAAGTGGAAATACCTTGGAATTAAAACCGATTTTTATTTGCAGAATCTTTTAACTATTATGTAATCCCATAACTACAAATTTGAAATTTATTTAAATCTCACGGAAATCTTTATTTGACTTGATAATGAGTAAAATTACATAAAAAGTATTTTAAGTTTTCATATGTTGTAAAATATTTTTCATTTTTCCATGTAAAACTAATTAAAACTATTGAATAAT